CTTTCCTTTTGCTTCCTTCATTTTGCCTCTGCCTCTTCCTTTGCTCCTCCAAGCCTGTCCGGGCATCCTTGTGCAAAGAGGGCCGGGCTCTGCCCCACCCAATGCCTGTCCGGCCATCCCATGCCAACATGGTGCTCCAAAGTCCACTTCGACTTCTGCCTGAGTAGGTTGGAACAAGCCCAGTGGCTCAGAAGTAGCAGTTTAACTCAGTAGGTAGGCAGAAGCAGGAACAAGGGACAAGAGCTCAGATCACCCCATTGCATGGATTCGAACTGCTGATCTTCCGATGCCACCCTGAGTAACCGCCGTTGTTAGAACCTTGCAGTCGGACCCTATTCTCCTGCTGCTGCTGCTGCTGACACCTCAGTTGCCTCCTGGAGACAAACTTAAGTAACTTTGCAAATGCGATGTTGCAGAAGAAGATGAAGACCAGGGTCTCCTGCGGCTGCCTTTTGCCTCGGTGCCCCAATGGGGCCCAAAAACCTGCTTTCCGGCTGCGAACTTCCTCAGTGCCTGATGGGGCAAAAAGTCAGCAACGTTGCTTGCTGACCATTTGAACAGTTTTCTAATCCTGCAGCTCCTTCCACTTGGGCTACATTCCAAAAGGTCTCTCTGTTCTGCCCCCACCCAAATCCTGTCCAGGCATCACCACATCACCCCATTGCACAGCTTCAGATTGCAGAGCTGATCTGATCTGTTTCTGACAGCCCCACGGCCCCGTGGATTAACCACTGTTAGTAGCACCGACCCTGTTCAACTGATGGTGCTGATGGCACTGTTGGAAGCAAGCAGCCTCTGTTACCTCCTTGGGGAGGGGGGAGAACCTTTCCTTTGCAGGCAAATCTGATGCTGCTGAAGAAGACCAGTCACCAGAGTCTCCTGCGGCTGCCTTTTGCCTCAGTGCCCTGATGGGGCCAAAAACCTTTCCAGCTGCCAACTTACCTCTGCCCCAATGGAGCCCAAAAACCTGTCCAGGTATCGCCCCATCGCATGGCTTGAGACTGCAGATTTTATCTTGTGCCAACAAGAACCACCATCCCCTTTCTTCATCAATAATAAAACAAACAACACTATCGCACGGCTTCAGGTTGAACAAGAACCACCATCCCCTTTCTTCATCAGTAATAAAACAAACAACACTATCGCACGTCTTCAGGTTGCAGAGTTGATGGTCTGGTTTTCCAAAGCTGTCTTCCCGGCTTCCCCTGCCAAGAGGGCCGGGCAGACCCAAGCCCTTCCTGGTAGTCAAAACAGCATACTTGACTAAATAATTAATTATTTCTGGAGGCTTTTGTTTCATATGCCACCTTGATGGCAAACACCACCCTCTTGCTCATCGGTGTTGAAGATTTCTGCCACTGCACACCCAATGGGGAAATTCTACTTTGCTGTCAATTGCCTTGGTGCTCAATGCCTACTAAGACATGCTTTCCCGCCTACTTTGGAGCTAACTACTTCAATGCCTGATGCGGCAGCACACTCTGCTTTCAGTCCCATGCCAACTCAGTAGGTAGGCAGAAGTTGGAAAAAAAACTACCCAAACGAATTAGCTCAGCTCACTAGTGGCCCCACAGATTAACCATCCAAGCCTGTTCAGGCGTCACCCTATTGCACGGCTTCGATTGCAGACCTGATCTGGTTTTTCAACCCATGCCAAGACAACCGGCCAGTCCAAGCCCCTCAACACCTCTGAGGGCTATCCTTGTTGGCAACACACCGCTCTGAGGGCTATCTTTGTTGGCAACACACCATTGGCAACACTTTGCCAAGACTTTGTTGCCAACACAGTCTACGTTGCTGCCGCCAGCTTCCTCATGGGGCGAGCATGACTAGATACGCAACGCCGACGCCATTAGTGGGACCTTCCCAATGAGGTGGAGCAATTCATCTGATGGTGTTATTGTTGCTTGCCTCCTTTTGTTTTCAAAAATAAACAACACACCTCCACGGCCACCTTTTGCTAATCCCCAACCAGGCCCATCCAGGCATCACCCCTTAATCCAATGCACAGCTTCAGTTTGCGGTCCTAATCGGGCTCCAAAAGCCCCACAGCCCCGTGGATTAACCACCGCTAGATTAACCGAGGGAGCAGCACATGGCACTTTGCTGCTGCCATCTACCTCAGAGCCCCAATGGGGCCAAAAGATCCTGCTTTCCGGCTGCCATGTGCCTGAGTGCACGACAATACCTCCTTCCCTTCAGTCCTCCTGAGGGCAAACTCTACTTCACTGGCAAATGTAATGCTGTGCTGAGCTGAAGACACACTCGATGCCTCATGCATGCCTCTGCCAAAGGGACCTCTCATTCTGCTGGGCTAAATATACATAACTCCCTCAATGCCATGGGCTTCTGTGCCGTGTGGTAAACTCTCCCGGGGGGAACCCAATTTGCGCGTGAATAACTTGGAGTTCCGATATCTAGTCTTCAGCAAAGTTGGCAGGCGTGTTAGGGAAAGACATAGGAAGCTACGTTGTGATTCTGGAGTCTCTAAGTACCTGGGGGAACTTTCCTGGGGTGGTCCTCTTTGTGACTATATAACTTGGGGCTCCATGATCTAATGTTCACTAAACTTTCAGGCATTGTAGGAAAGCGTCTGAGGAAGCTTCCCTGCATATTTGGTGTCTCTAGGTCATCGGGGGCCAGTGTTATAGCCATTTAGAGCACAGATGTAACCTTGATGAACAATGGATCAAAACAAATCATCATTTTTTTATTTATCCCCCTCTCTAGTCACAACACTCATTGCCTGAACAATAAACACACTGTGGAGAAAAAAACTCTGTGGAAGCCAATTCTTATGAAAAGATTGGGCAGAATATTGACTGAATGCTTTGCCTTATATCTGCACTTTTACAAGAGCTAGACTCTGGGGACTTGACGCCAATGGAGATTCGAGGTTTATCCACACTGGTTGAAATGATGTGAGAATGATACAGCTCTGTGTTGCAGATACGACTTTACTCTCTGTTTTAAAAAGCTGGGACTCCAGGTCAGCTAAGGATTTAAACAGGTGCCAGGTGGTGTGGGTTGAGTACAGGTAACACTCAGCCCATTGTACAATATGGCAACGACATCCTTTCTCTTGCTCTCCTCAATAACTCTTTGAGCCTTTCCCTCTCCTCTACATAAAAATAGTACATAACTTCCTTTTAAAAAAATATCTTACACGTCAGTCAATTCAGATATCCTTCTCAAGAAAGAACAAGTCTTGCAAGGCAAAGCAAATAATAAAACTAGCAGGAAGTGTACTGTTATCTTGTACTGCCCCAGATAGGACCCTTCCCTTTGGAGTGCTAGATAATGATTCACTATGGACAGGTGAGGAACGCTGAGCTGGAAATTCATTTTGTTGTGCGCATGTGTCATGTGTACAATAAGCCTAGGTGAGAGAGGAGTAACATATACCTACCTACCCCTGACGTTCATGAAAAATACAACTCGAGAAGACAGTGGAATGGATAAGAAGAACTAGAAAGCAAGGTAAGCCTGGAGTGTCTATCTTGGTTGCACAAGTGGGTACATGTGACAGGTGGTACAGATTGATTGATTGATTGATTGATTGATTGATTGATTGATTGATTGATTTCATTTTTGTACTGTCCATCTCACCAAGGCCACTCTGGGCAGTTTACAACATATATATATTAGGGTTAAATGTAGGGAGTTTCTTTGGTGGGGGCCAAGGAATCATACAGTGCCACTGCTACCGCCTGGGTAAAGAGAGATGCAAAATATGCTAGATTTAGAGGGGCTGATTAGGTGTTTAACGATTTCTGCTGGGACAAATTATAAGGAATCCTGATCTATCAGAAAGAGCTGTAGTTGGGTTATGAGAAACTCCTGCCTTCCTTTCTCGGGTCTCAATGAGACCTTCCATCCACCCCAAACTGGGACTCCTAATTCCTGCTGCTGCAGGAGATTGCGGCTCTCCCCTCACGTTTCCCACAGAGACTCCACAATACATGGTTAATAATGAATTCGCTTTATTCCTCCACATTGGAGTAATATAAGGACCATTTGGCTAAGCTGGGCAAAAGAGCTGTCTAGCCTGCCACCATTTCTTCTCATGATCAGCCATTGGGCCACTGGCAGAAATTTAAGACAATAGACGCCACCCCTCTCTACCTCCCCGTAACTGGTACTGAGCAACATATTACATCTGCTGAGCACAAAGACTATTGTTAGTGGTCATGACCGAAAGCCATTGGTCAATTTATTCTATGCAGACAATTGCTTTGCCTGTTGTTTGAATCAATTCATAGTGTACCTGTTGATTTAATGGTTGGTTGGTTGTTTTTTGCTTGAATTACGGCAAGGAAAAAAGGAGGAAAAATCTGCCTTGTAGCTTGTTCCTCTATATATCTTGCTATAAGCCACTTAACTCCCATCAGCGAAGGGCCCTTAACTTTTAGTATAACTCCCAGTCTATTGCGAGAAATGAGATAGGGCAGCAGTAATTGTTGGTGCGCGTTGGTAAAGTACTTAACATTTTATCTCTACTCACGTATATTCTAGCTGTGTTCTTGAAATCAGAGTCAGGACGGAGATTTTTACTGCCAGTGAAAATCTTGGATTGACATCCTTTAATATTCCTTTCAACTCTATGATTTAAATAGCTATAATTTATTTAAATTTTTTTGCTGAGTTTTAATAGACAAAGCAATTTGTTAAAAATTTCATTAAATTAGGAGCAGCAGTGGTAGAATAAACACTAACATTTCTGGTCCCTATTAAGTTTTGATAATATAGAGAATGAGTGTCTAACAGATCTTTCTAAAGCCTAATAAATCTTTCTCAAGATGTGTGTTCCATACATATAGTGAGGTTTACCCGGATAAGTCTTCTGGCTCTGGTATGTTATGAAGCGCTGTTGTTATTTCATAAAGGTCATCATTACTCTGATTATGCCATGCTCTCTTAATTCATTTGCAAGTTTCTTCATCAAGGCGTCCAAGTGTACTCAGTGTGATAGAGATGTTCTCATTGTTTCTTCTAGTTTCTCCGGGATGCTGCTATTTCCAAACTTGACATGATGCAGAAAAACCACGGATGATTTTAATGTTTCAGTGTTCCATTACTTTTACTGAATACAGCAAGCAAACCCAACATTGGCAACATCTCAGCGTCTCACTTTGTAATTTTCGTCGCCTCCTTGAAGACTTTTTTTCCTTTCCGAAATCATTGGATCAGGTTACAGTTATCAGCAAGTGCCAGCAAATCTATGTATGTGTGTGTGTGTTTTTTAACCCTGTCATTCTCCCCAAAAGCGATCCAAGGCAGCTCCTTTGTGCCAACAACCTCTTTGCACTTTGAAGCTTGTCAGTCAACCAGCTGTTATGCAGATGCTATTTCCTTTGTAGTATAATCTTAGGAAGTTTACTTAAAAAGCAGCCCTGCTTTGATTAAGAAGACATGCTCATGAGTCAAACCATGTACCTTGGGCGGGTGGGTGTTATGTGCCATCAAAGCAGAATTGATTTACAGCTACCTGAATTGGGCTTTCAAGGTAAGGGAGATATTTAAGGAGTGATTTTACCAGTTCCATCCCTGCCCATGATTTTCCATGGCATAGCACGTATTTGAACTCAGGTCTCCTCAGTCCGCTAGTATCCAAATATGTACATCTGTACAATTCAAGGATGACTCTTATACAAAATTGATATACAAAATGACCCCGCCCAATCTAAAAAGAGACTAGATCAGCACTCACATCTGGTGCATCTCATAAATATGCATTCTGTTTATGTACCTTACTTCTTAGTGGAAATGGCTCACTTCTGTAGGAAGGACTTCTCTGCATCTCATAAATATGCATTCTGTTTATGCACCCTATGCAACTTACTTCTTAGTGGAAATGGCTCACTTCTGTAGGAAGGACTTCTCAGTTGCTGATGGGTGCCATATTTCCCCCCAAAAGCTTCAATAGTAGGGTTGCCTGATTTCATTGCTGTGGCTGGAGTCACAGGGAATTGTCATAGCAGAATGAACGATCCCAGGCCAAGCAGCATTAGAAAAGGAGAATGTGTGAATTATTCATTTTATTTATTTTACAGTGGCACCTCGCTAGACAGTTACCCCGCATGACAGTTTTTTCGCTAGACATTGACTTTTTGTGATCGCTATAGCGATTCGCAAAACAGTGATTCCTATGGATGGAATTTCGCTGGACGATGTTTGGTCCCTGCTTCGCAAACCAATTTTCGCTAGACGACGATTTTGACAGCTCCCTCTGCACTCTCAAAACTGGTGTTTTCGGGATCTAAGCTTCGCCAGACAGCTATTTAAACAGTTGATCAGCAGTTCGCAAAGCGGCTTTCCTGTGGCCAATCTTCGCTAGACAACGATGATTCTTCCCCATTGGAACGCATTAAACAAGTTTCAACGCATTCCAATGGGGAAATGCTTTTCGCTAGACAATGATTTCGCTAAACAGCAATTTCAGTGGAACGGATTATCATCATCTAGCGAGGCACCACTGTATTTTATTGGATTTCTACCCCGCCCATCTAGACCAAAGTTCTACTCTGGGGGGCAATTTCAGTAGTTCAGGATATACCTGCCCATCTAGACCAAAGTTCTACTCTGAAGGGCAATTTCAGCAGTTCAGCATATAAATTCAGCATATGAGGTGTCTTTAAAGTCCAGGCACTCATCCCCAACTGGCACAAATTGTTAGCACACATTTAAGCTTTTTTCCCTGCCAACCTTGCTTGCCTCACCTCCGTGACATTACAAGAACCCACCCCTGCCTGTGATAACCTGGTGTCATGTTTTGGCCCCTGAAATCTCACAGAACGAGGGGCTGCTAATAATGCTATTTGAAGATGACGGCAGATTGTGTTGCTCTGGTTCTGAGGGCTTCACGACGACACTGCTTGATGAAGTGGAATCATCATGAAGCCAAACGAGGGGAAAGCATTGATTTTTGCACTAATTATGGAGCTGTCTGGCAGGAAATGGCTCCAAGTAGCAACTGGGATTCCAGGAAATACAGCCACTGATCAGCCATGTTATTTTTATTTTTTAACCTGACACGGCCACCTCTTCTACAACTACAATGGTTATTAAATCATGCTGTAGGTGGATGTTTTACTGGCTTATTTTATTCATACTGGGGTTTTTTTCCCGCCCTCTTGGAGCTCAGGATGACATACACAGGTGATGCATCAGCAGCTTTTAATCCAGAAACCAACTGGAAAACATTTTGCTGCCTATAGAACAGTAGCAAAGGGAATCCTTACATGACCAAAGGCAAAAGGGATAGTACGTTTGGACAGTCAAAGTATTCTGACACCTGAAGCAGAAAGCATAACAAGTGGCTTAGCAGTAAAAAAATATGAACATAAGATATTAAGTAGCCAACAATTTGCTACCATTTTATGCTCTCAAAAACCTACTGCAAGAGGCAGACATCTCATTCAAATTAATTAACTAATTATTTTGAAATATCCATACTTTACAAGGGGACCCAACTTGACTTACAACATTAAAACATACAATGCTAAAAAAAACCCAGCAGACCTATTTTTAGGAACCTCTTAGGCGACCAGTCCCTGAGGAAATGCGTGCCTGAACAGAAGAATCTTGGCCTGCTTGTTGAAGGACAGCAAAGAGGGGTCCAGCCTGGTGTCCTGTGGGAGGGAGTTCCACAGCTTGAGGGCAGCAAGAGAGAAAGCCCTCTCTTATGTCTGCACCAAATGCACCTGTGAGGGTGGCGAGACCAAGAGAAAGGCCTCTTCCGATGATTTTAAAAGTCAGCCAGGCTCAGAAAGGGAGATGCTGTCTTCAGGTTGTTTGGACCCAACGGGAGGGCCGGCTCTGACTGACCAACCCAAGCTTGCTGAACTGAGACAATATTGTTCCCTTGTGGGCTTTGAGACCATACTCTAAATCTAGTACAAGTGCCATTCCCCACAGTTTTGTATCAGTATCAGCTTTCTTTACTCGAGATGCAACCATACACATACATACCTGGGGAAATTTCCACTGATCACAGCAAGCATCACTTCTCAGCATACTTGCAAATGTCTGTGCTGTTGCCCTCTGTTCGCTACAAGGGAGGAGGGTGGATCGCTACTTGTCTTTTCATTGCATCTTTGCTCTTCTTCTAGGCACTCCTTCTTGTACAACCATGAATCTCCCAGAAGGACGTACCTTTGAGAAAGCCTCTTGTTTATATGTCTTGTACTTCTTTGGTCTCATCTCTGTTTCCACATTCTTGCACTTGTACGACAAGATTCCCTCCCAATTCCAGAGAGTCAAGTTCAAGAACACATCTGGCGGCTCCTTTATGGAACACACCAGCTTATTGCACAGGACCACTAAGGCAACTGATCGTGGCATATGGACCGTGAACTCCATTGGACGTTTGGGGAACCAGATGGGGGAATATGCCACCCTCTATGCCTTAGCAAAACTTAATGGGCACCAAGCTTTCATCCTTCCAGCCATGCACAATTATCTGTCACCGATATTCCGCATCACACTGCCTGTCATCCCTGCTGAGGTGGTGTCCAAGGTCCGGTGGAGAAACTACGGTGTGCATGACTGGATGTCAGAGGAATATCGCCACATCAAGGGCAAATATGTCCGGTTGACTGGCTACCCTTGTTCTTACACCTTTTACCACCATATCCGCCAGGAGATACTTCGGGAATTCACCTTCCACGACCATATCAAGGAAGAGGCCAATCAATACCTTCGAGGCCTCAGAGGAGAAGGCCGTGAGGTGACATATGTTGGAGTCCACGTCCGGAGAGGGGATTACGTCTGGGTAATGCCCAGGACTTGGAAAGGTGTGGTGGCCGATAGGGGCTACTTGGAGAAAGCCATGAACTACTTCAGAGGGAAATACCAAAATCCCATTTTCGTGGTGACCAGCAATGGGATGGAGTGGTGTAAAGAAAACATTAATGCCTCCAGAGGGGATGTTTACTTTGCTGGGGATGGGCGGGAGTCTTCTCCAGGGAGGGATTTTGCTCTCCTTGCTCATTGCAACCACACCATAATGACCATCGGGACCTTTGGCATCTGGGTTGGGTATCTGGTAGGTGGGGAGACTGTCTACTTGGCCAACTACACCCTACCGGATTCTCCCTTCCTCAAGGTCTTCAGGCCCTCAGCAGCCTTCTTACCTGAATGGATTGGGATCCCAGCAGACCTTTCCCCCCTGCTGCCCAAAAAGGAACCTGCTGAAGTTCATGCCCCAACCGAGGCAGCTGGTTAAGTGCAAATACAGTCTGAGGTCAAACCTGGATTTGCTGACCAGTGGTGAGCATGATCCAAAGATAGGCCATAAAAAGAAGGCAGCTTGTGACATGGATACTGGAAATAGTAGAAAAGTCAGAATGAATGGTTTAAGTAGCCTGGGCCTTCAGATCAAACCCAAAAGTAGCTGCAAGCATTTACATCAAAGCTAGTTTTCCTGGTCTTGAGGGAGACACTTAGGAAGCCCCCTTATTCCTGAGGTGCCTCATGTGGTTCAGTTGCAAGTTAGAGTATATTCAGATAGACATCTGTCCCCCTGATTGGTGCACTGCTGGCATGGATTGGCCCCCTTTTTTCCCCCAGTGTCCACGTGACAAGTGGCCCACAAGGCAGCCCAACCTGCACCTTTTAAAGCCCCTGTCAAAGCCGCCTACTTTTTTTTTGGTGCAGGTTGGTGTGCTCTAGTTTAGTCTGTTCCTACTACATGCAATTGAAGGGAACGGACTAAAATCAAGTATTGCAGCTGTCAAAGCTGCCAAGGCTCCTTCCAGTTTGAATTTCCAGTATCGTGAAGTGGTTAATAAACAAGTCACTTTGGGAGATCAGCAAATTGAACACTTAAGAAAGCAGAGAAAGACACGTCGTTCTTTCCAGCAAGTGCACAGCTGGAAAACAAAGTGCAAACAGAGAGGTGTGCATGGATCTCTAGCAGCATGTTAAGAGTCTCTTCTATTTTTACAGGCACACAGAGATCCTGTTTGGGAAGTCTCTTGTTCAGAAACATACACTCTTTCCCTTTTTTTATTTGCTTGGCACCTTTCAAGCAATCCCCATCTCTTCTTCTTTGCGTGTGTGTGTTTGCGTGCACACGCACGCACAAGCATGCATGTGTGTGTGTGCGTGTGTGTGTGTGTGTGTGTACAATACAAGGTGCAAAAGGGGAGGATCCCTTTCTTTTGTTTCCATTGGCGAGATCAGGATGGGTGGCTGGCAAATTGCTCACCCCGTTTTCTCCATGTCCTGCTCCTTTCTCTCTGCCTTCCCTCCCCCTCCCCAAAATTGGTGTAGCCAAACAGGAACACAAAAGGCAGATGTGTGCATGGTTTTGACTGGCTGTTCTCCCCCCTTGCACTCCCATGTGTAGCTTGCCCCTCTCTCTCTTTATGCCATTTGGACATGAGGATCAGACTAAACTGCATATTGTTTCTCTCTATCAACTGAACCAGCCCTACTTAGACCACACCAGCCTACACCAAAAGGGCCAGTCTGGATATGCCCTGACCCCAGTACTGGCAATGGGATAAGCTTCCCCTACTGTCTCACTGGATTAGCAAGAGCAAGGCTGGCTGCATAACGCCTTTAAAATTTATTTGCCAATCTTGCTAGCTTTTATATTGTGTGTGTGAATGTGTGTATATGTGCACACGTGCACCATTTATTTATGTATTTATTTAATGGCTGTATATTTCATTGTAAAGATGAAAATCTCAGGGTTGTACCTCACAAAAACAGCATAGTTCAGTTACAAAACAATTCCACAAAGTGAAACTAACCAGAAGACAAAGACCCAGACCCAACGGGTTGGAGTCAAGGTATGGTGGTTGTATCCTGTCAACGTTCAGAAGCCATAGGTTAGGATAGGTAGCTGTTCACTGGTGTCATCAATGAGAAGGTCAATCCATTCTTTTCTGGACTGTAGATGGGGGGGAGCAGAAAGTGGCGAATGTTTGGGTGAATCCTTGAAGTGGAATCATGTTAAGGAATGATGTTAAGGAAAGTATGGCAGTTGTGAAGAAAACCATCTGTTAATTCCTGTCAACGTTCAGAAGCCATAGGTTAGAATAGGTAGCTGTTCACTGGTGTCATTGATGGGAAGGTCAATCCATGTTAAGGAATGATGGGGAGAAAGTATGGCAACTGTGAAGAAAACGATCTGTTAACATATAGAGAGAAATATCTCATTACAACTTCATGGGGTGTCAGGAACAAGAAAAATATATTAATTCTCCAGAATTAGTCAAATACTAATTTTATTCTCTTGAGAGAATGAAAACGATAAAAGTTCTTGCGATTCCTTTATTAGTAACGCATTGCGTCGTGCTGTATGTTTCCCCAGAATTGTTGCCTCATCTGGCAGATTTATATGCACATGCTTAGGCATAAAATGCCAAAAGTGCAGACAGGAATAATTACCTCAGCAGTGTTTGGTCAGAAACCATTGCTCGATGATAACAGAGATATCACAGGTATCCTGCTAAACTCCAGAAATCACATGTTGCAGTAGGTCCCTGTTCATTGGTGTAACGAGTGTGGTCCACAGGATTTATAAGCTGATTATGAATACACGTGAGAGTCCCCTCTGTTAGAGGATTTTTCTCTGTTTCCTCACCACACTCACACCCTAATTGCCATTTGGATTGCCTAGCTGACTTGGTTCCTTCCACAGGAATGTTATGCAGCCTTTCACCCCAGTGGATTAGGATCATAACTGGATCTTCATTTCCTCCACAGAGGATCAAGGGAACCACTTCATTTACAGTTGATCGGGCTACAAGGCGTTGTTTGGACAGAAGAAGCATGCCAAATGGCACATTGCTCCTCCCCACAACTTCAACCAATTCTTTATAGCCCAATTCACTCCACACCCAGACCAGCCGGACTGGACAGGCCTTTAGTAAACCTAGTCAGCATAGCCAGATGCCTTGAATAACGTGGGAGAATGAAAAGAGAGGCAACAGTGACAGCAGTAGCGGCAGTAGCAAGACCAAGGGCCAAACTATACATTACGGATAGCCCAACTTTAGAAGCTGAAATAAGCTAAAGCTTCAGAAACATGATTGATACACACCATCTTGATTCAGCAGTCATAGTGAAAAGCAAAGCCAGCATTTAGATTGTTGTTGTTTAGTCGTTATGTCATGTCCAACTCTTCGTGACCCCATGGACCAGAGCATGCCAGGCCCTCCTATCTTCCACTGCCTCACGGAGTTGGGTCAAATTCATATTGGCAGCTTCGATGACACTGTCCAACCATCTCCTCCTCTGTCGTCCCCTTCTCCTCTTGCCCTCACACTTTCCCAACATCAGGGGCTTTTCCAGGGAGTCCTCTCTTCTCATGAGATGGCCAAAGTATTGGAGCCTCAGCTTCAGGATCTGTCCTTCCAGTGAGCACACAAGTTTGATTTCCTTTAGAATGGATAGGTTTGTTCTCCTTGCAGTTCAGGGGACTCTCAATTCTTCTGAGGTCAGCCTTCTTTATGATCCAGCTTTCACTTCCATACATCGCTACTAGAAAAACCATAGCTTTGACTATGCGGACCTTTGTCAGCAGGGTGATGTCTCTGCTTTTTAAGATGCTGCCTAGGTTTGTCATCGCTTTCCTCCTAAGAAACAGACGTCTTTTAATTTGGTAGCTGCTGTCACCATCTGCAGTGATCATGGAGCCCAAGGTTTGGGGATTTTTTTGTTTTTTTGTTTTTGTTTTGTTTTTGATGTTGAGCTTCAGACTATTTTTGGCCCTCTCCTCTTTCACCCTCATTAAGAGGTTTGTTAATTCCTCCTCATTTTCTGCCATCAGAGTGGTATCATCTGCATATCGGAGGTTGTTAATATTTCTTCTGGCAATCTTAATTCTGGTTTGGGATTCCTCCAGTCCAGCCTTTCGCATGATGTATTCTGCATATAAGTTAAATAAGCAGGTAGACAATATACAGCCTTGTTGTACTCCTTTCCCAATTTTGAACCAATCAGTTGTTTCATATCCAGTTCTAACTGTTGCTTCCTGTCCCATATATAGATTTCTCAGGAGACAGATAAGGTGCTCAGGCACTCCCATTTCTTTAAGAACTTGCCATAGTTTGTTGTGGTCGACACATTCAAGGCTTTTTCGTAGTCAATGAAGCAGAAGTAGATGTTTTTCTAATATACATTTAGGTGCAGGAGAGCAATCACAAAACAAGCTAATTTGGCAAAATGTGGGAAGTGTGAAAAATGCCTGCTGTAACAATCACAAATCTTTCTGCCTTTTAAGGAACTGCCACTTCTAATGACTGGTATAATGTATAATTTGGCCCTTCAGCCAAATTATACATTATACCAGTTTCAAATATCTTTTTTTTTCCAAGAAAGAGGAAAATAAGTCTTTAAAAAGAGTTGAAGCTGTTGCTGGACTACAGTTTCCGGTGCAAAACCTGAGACTAACATGCCTGCCCTTGTAATGGCACAGGGCGCGAGTTCTTCTTATGTCACTGTCATAAGCCCTGCTGGAACAATATAAAAAGACAGTGTGGCTCTCCTGCACAACCTTCTAAATAAATATTATGTGTGCAACATCTACAGACACCTTTGCACTGGTCCAGTGCCCATAGAGTGTAAGGTGGAGACGGTTCTCCACTATTAAAGCACATCTTTCGTCTCTTGTAAAATTCCAGAGTCTAATCAAAGCAAATGCAGTAAAAGCAAATGTGACATCTCACACCCTCAAAGCTCAGTTTGGGGGTGAGCCGCCTGGAGCTTGATAAATGAGTTTTCAGTGGATTGGAGTATGAGTGTAAGGTAATTACAAAAAGGTTGTGATAAGAGTGGAGAGCTGGCAAGGTATCTTACATGGAACAATGCTAACATGGCAAGTGTGCCAGGATTCCTATTTATAGATAAGTAGAGAGATTTTAATTCAGAGCAGATCTTTTGCTAGAAGGCAGGGAAAGATTGTAACAGGCCCAATTTAAGTCTCTTATCCACAAAGTTTAGACAACACAAACCTACGCATATATACATGGAAAAAAGGCCTGCCTTTGATTCCAAAAACATCTGCATGCTCAGCCTAGACTGGGTGAAAATAGAGTAGAACCACAAATCCATGTTGGATCAGTTCCAAGCCCACTCCACCCACCCTGGATGGTGAAAAATGCCAATTATGGCAAATACTTTACATAGCATGGTCTCTGGGTCCCTCCAGTGGCCAGTTCTGGCAACGTCATCTTTAGAAATACATATTTCTTGGATTTTAATACAGAGTTTTAAAATTTTTCAGATCATGGATAAGTGAATCTGCAGATACTGATCCCTCTGATATAGGGGTCCTACTATAAACAAAGTGTCAGAAATAGTGCAGCATCATTAGGGAATTTTTTTAAAAAAAACCAAAATGAAACAAAAAGCTACAATAAAAAGGGGAGTTTGTGAACAAGAGAGAAATAACAGACACACCACCAAGGTGTACAGTGGTTTTGGAAGGCTGTAGAACACAATGAGAAGCAACGAAGGCAGAATAAGGGTTAATACTAGTTAGACTGACAAAAGCCTAGAAAGGATGTCTTCCAGAGACTTCAGAACTTGTATGTTTATTTCATGAAACTGCTTGTTTCGCCATTCTGAAGAAAATCAACCCTGAGTGATCACTGGAAGGACAGATCCTGAAGCTGAGGCTCCAATACTTTGGCTATTTCATGAGAAGAGAAGACTCCCTGGAAAAGACCCTGATGTTAGGAAAGTGTGAAGGCAAGAGGAGAAGGGGACGACCGAGGATGAGATGGTTGGACAGTGTCATCAAAGCTGCCAACATGAATTTGACTGGCCTGACCAGCATAGCCGGGAAGGAATCGGTCTTTGACCTCCAATAGCCACCATTGGTCAAGCCATCCATCAGGGCAGACTGCCCATGAACTGCCCAAGTCATCTCAGTCCAGAAATCCAGGCAGGAGAGGGTTGGGGAAGGAAGCAATGCCCAAAGAGAAGAAGTCCCCAGGTTGAGGGTGGGAATCAGATGAGGAGGTGGAACTAAGATGCATTGAGATAGAAGATTCGTTGCCCAAGAAGGAGGTGGGAG